GTCATTAGAAAGTACTTCCTGTAAGAAAATCATTTTTAAATTTCTCAGTTTTTTCTTCTGGTATACTGATGGTTTCGTTTTTACATTTAAATCTTTAATTTACCTGGAATTTATTTTCGTGTAGAAAGTATAGGAGAGTTCTAATTTTATTGTTTTCTGGTGAGTGCCATGAAATATTTCCTTCTGTTAATGAACTAGAATGTTTTTCCTCATATACAATACAAATAACATAACTGACCCCATTTGCCTTTTTGCTATGGCTGTAGGAAGATCAGAGACAAATTCACAGCTAACCACAGAAGTGAATTTCATACCTAATCCCAATTTTCTGTCATGTTAATATACTTGCTTTATATTTTCTGTGTTCCTACCTTTATTTTTCAATTTTATTAGATGTATTCTCATCAGGTTCCAAATATCCAGTGGAAAACAAAGTAGGCAATGAATGAATAAGTTATAACTTATCTGGGCCTCAGTCATTTATTGTTCTTCTTGGATAAAGGCCAGACAGAGATCTCTAAGGTAGAGCTGGGAGAGACTTGGGGATAGGAGGTTGAATGGAGTGGAGGAAGAGAAAATACAAATGCAAACATGAAAGACATGATCTGCCTCATACCACATAGAAGCACCAGCCTGAAAATGCCCATCCATAAGCTAGGTCAGAAGTTGCCACAAAAGCCCATGTACTTATAGCCCAAATATAGTTATTGGTGACTGACATGACTGTGTAGAGCTGACATGATTGGGGTTGGCAAACATTTTTGTAAAGGGCCAAATAGAAAATACGCTAGGGTTTTCAGGCAATATGGGCTCTTGGCAACTACTCAACACTGCCATTGTAGCATGAAAACAACCACATATAATAAGTAAATAAATGAGTGTGGCTGTGTTCCAAAAAACAGTATTATTGAACACTGAAATTTGAATTTCATATAATTTTCACATGTCACAAAATACTCTTTTTACTTTTTTCAAGCATTTTAAAATGTAAATAGTATTCTTACCTTGCAGACAGTAAAAAAAAAAAAAAACAACATCAAGTGTCAGCAAACCAGGGGCCATAATTTGCTGACCCCAAAGTAGAACCTAGGTGAGGAAGTTTATTATTGGAAGTATATGTAAAGTGTCACTTGATGCTTGGTTACCATGCAGTGACCTCCCTTAGATACATAAATTTTACTTCTAGAAATTTATCACAAGGAAATAATCACAGTAGCATACAAAAATTTGAAAGCAAAGACTGTTATACCACCTTGGATGATAACAATGAAAAAAACTGGAAGCATCCAAATATCCAGTAACGGAGTGGCTCAGAAACCCAAGGCAAACCCTAAAGACTCCACCAAAAAACTCCTAGTTCTAATAAATGAATTTGGCAAAGTAGCAGGATACAAAATTCATATTCAGAAATAGGTGGCATTTTAGACACCAATAATGAACTATCAGAAAGAGAAATTAAAAACAATTCCATTTACTACTGCAACAAAAAAATAAGGAACCTAGGAATAAATTTAACCAAGGGAGTAAAAGACCTGTACTTGGAAAATTATAAGATACTGAAGAAAGAATTGAGGAAGATATAAATAAGTAGAAGTATAGTGTTCATGGATAGGAAGAATTAACATCATTAAAATGTCCATTCTACCCAAAGCAATCTATAGATTCAGTGCAATCCTTATTAAAATACCAATGGCCTATCTCACAGATCTAGAACAAATATTCCAAAAATTTATATGGAACCAAAAAAGACCCCAAATAGCCTCAGCAATCTTGAGAAAGAAGAACAAAATTAGAGGTATCACATTACCTGATATTAAACTATACTACAAGGCCACAGTAATCAAAACAGCATGGTATTGGCACAAAAATAGGCATATAGATCAATGGAACAGAATAGACAGCACAGAAATAAACCCACACCTTTATGGTCAATTCATATTTGACAAAGGAGGCAAGAACATACAATGAGGGAAAGAGTCTCTTCAATAAATGATATTGGGGGGGAAAAAATGAAACTAGACCATCAACTTCCACCATACACAAGAATACACTTAAAATGAATTAAACTTAAGTATTAGACTTGAAATCATAAAAATCCTATAAAAATTCAGGCAGTAAAATTTCAGACATTTCTCATAACAACATTTTTGTCAATGTGTCTCCTCAGGCAAGAGAAACAAAGGAAAAAATAAACAAATGGGACTACATCAAATTAAAAAGGTTTTGCACAGCAAATGAAACCATCAACAAAATGAAAAGGGAACACAGTGAATGAGAGAACATATTGGCCAATGCTACATCTAATAAGGGGTTAATTTCCAAAATATATAAAGAACTTATACAACTCAACACCAAGAAGACAAACTACACAATTAAAAAATGGGCAAAGGATCTGAATAGACACTTCTCCAAAGAAGACATACAGATGGCCAATAGACATATGAAAAAAATGCTCAACATCACTAATCATCAGAGAGATCCAAATTAAAACCACAATGAGAATTAAAATCTCATGGCCTGTCAGAATGGCTATCTTCGATAAATCAACAGACAACACGTGCTGGTGGAGATATGGAGAAAAGGAAACCCGAGTGCACTGTTGGTGGAAATGCAGACCGGAGTAACCATTGTGGAATTCAGTGTGGAGTTTCCTCAAAAAAATTAAAAATGGAACTGTCTTTTTGACCCAGAGATCCCACTTTTTGGAATATATCTGAAGAAACCCAAAACACTAATTCCAAAGAATATATGCACCCCTATGTTCATTGCAGCATTATTTACAATAGCCAAGATCTGGAAACAGCCCAAGTGCCCATCAGTAGATGAGCGGATAAAAAAGCCGTGGTACATTTCCACAGTGGAATACTACTTGGCCATAAAAAAGAAGGATCTCTTACCCTTTGCAACAGCATGGATAGACCTGGAGATTATTATGCTAAGTGAAATAAGGCAGTCAGAGAAAGACAAATACCATATGGTCTCACTTATATGTGGAACCTAACTGACGAATAAAATAGGAACAGAGACATGGATGCAAGGAACAGACTAACAATTGTCAAGAGAGGAGGGGAGTTGGGGGGCTGGATGAAAAAGGGTGAAGGGATTAAGCAAAACTATATATATATATATATATGTATATATATATTTTTAATATATTATATATATATAAAACACACACACTCACATAGATAACAGACAGCAGTGTGGTGATAGCCAGAGGTAAGAGGGGTGGGGGCTAAGTGGAGGTGGGCAAAGGGGGAATAAATAGGGACAGAAAGAGAATTTTCTTTGAGCAATGAGTACAAGATGCAGTGTGCAAATGATGTTTTATTGAGTTGTACACTTGAAACCTGTATGGTTTTGTGAACAAATCTCACCCCAATAAATTAAATTTTTAAAAAATCCTAAGGCCATCCAAAAGATGGAATGCTATGCAACCATGTCAACAATTATCCTGTGGTCTGGAAAGAAAGCAAATGTAGTCAAATATTAACAACAGGTGAGTCTAAGTGAAGGCTGTATGGATGTTCACTGCCAACTTTTCTGTGGGTTTAAAATGTAAAAATAAAGTTGGAAACATGGCTTTCCAAAGTAAAAATTGTTTTTGTGAGATGCAAGTTAATAGACTTACACAGACCCATCTCCAGCTCATCAGAACTCTGTTCTCCCTGTTAAATAATGAAAATTAATTTCAACACCCTTTTCACAGGAAAATAATACAGATTAATTTGGTAATATTTGTCTAACTACCTAGTGTCTGTTTCAGTCACACTAAATGTAATTTAAATTATATGTAACATGAGATTTATTTTTTAAAGTTTTTTTAATCTCAATGTTTCCTTTATGATCATTTTGTTCTAAAGGCAAAGAAAATCTTGACTTGCTTAGATTTCAAACATTTGGGGGTAAAAACTTGCTTTTATACATGAAATACAAATTATCTGGGAAGAGTTCCCTGGCATGGGTGGATACCCTAGGCCCTGCAGGTGCAAATAGCATTTGGGGAATCCCTTCATCTGGATTCTCCTCAGGCTCAGGCCTGGACTTGCTAGGTTATATGCTATTATTTGAAAATCTAACATGGGAAATAAATTCATTCAGTAACTTGAACACAAAATAAAATTAATAAAAAGCTTACACATTAAAAAAAATGTTTTCTTTATTGATTTCAGAGAGAGAGGAAGGGAGAGATAGAAACATCCATGGAAAAACATCAATTGGCTGCCTCCTGCATGCCTTCCACTGGGGATTTGGCCCACAACCTGGGCATGTGCCCTGACCAGGAATGGAACTGGCGACCTCTTGGTGCATGGGTGGCTCAACCACTGAGTCACACGAGCTGGGCAAAAGCGTATACATTTTAAAAATACATAGAAACGATTTCCAAATACAAAATAGCCTATCTTGGGCAGAGAACTTCAGCGACCCTCCATTTAACGTTCCTGTTATATGGGGGGATTAAACAGAGTGCATTGTCAATTTCTGCTTGAACCCCAGTTATGCACTGTGTGCTGCAGAACTGGAATTATCAAGGATGGATTTTCGAAAATTTGTCTCCGTTTAAAACTTTTTAAACGCTCACATTCATTCCCCTTAACGAGAGTCAAAGCCAAGTTTCCCGTGTAAAAAAATTAAAATCCAGGGCAATAGATCACAGGGATGTACTCCCCTTTTACTACCAGAACCATAATCAATTCTTGCCCTCCTGCTTCCAAAGCTCTGGCTTTTAGATACTAACTGCTTTTTACTCTCTACCTCCACTGTGCGTCCCGGTTGCCCGAGAACCCGCCAAATCCCACTAAACCCCACCCCCACCTGCCATCCAACGGTCCCCACAGGCTTCGCTCACAGTCCCTGTTCCCACGCTCCGCGGTCTTCCGCAATCTCACGGGATTCCGTAAAGCCCGCCCTTCTCTTCTTCGCTTTTGCCTTTTTCTTCCTTTCAGGACCATCCCTCACCACCTGGCTATTTGATTGGTCCGCGCCTTCGTTACGTCACTCAGCCGCGCCACCCGGAAGCCATGGTTCATACCAACCTTTCTTATTGCCGGCGGCTCTAAGGTGAGGGCTGCGTTTGGGTATCACTGGGTGGCGGGGTCCTAGACATGGAAGGGCAATAAGGTGGACACCCCCAACGTTAGCCGGATGTGCCCATTCCCAACGCTGAGAGGGTGCAGATGAGGCAACACTGAGTGGTCAACGTGGTCTTCCCCCTCCCCATTCCCCAGGAGCCCATCATGGCGACGCCCCCTAAACGGCGGGCGCTGGAAGCCACAGGGGAGAAAGTGCTGCGCTATGAAGCCTTCATCTCAGACGTGCTGCAGCGGGACCTGCAGTGAGTGACAGCGCGGGGGGCGGGGCGTAAGACGTGTGCCACGTGGTGAGCGGGGCGGTAAGGTCAGGGCCTAGCCTTCTGATTGGTGAGCAAGGCATTCGGAGCCCGGCCCTAATCGCCATTCGAGGGGGAAGGAGGTGGCGACAGTCCGGATCCAACTTGACAGGGATGTGGCCTCTTAATAGAGGGTGTGCCCGTACCTGTGCATCCTTTGAAGTCGCTGAACTGTTAAGAGCTAGATTTCCTGGGCCGCAGTCCTCAGGTTCAAAACCTGCTTTGGCCATGTAGCCATCCAGGTGAACACGTTGTGCCTCGCCTCGACTTTCTGTGCCTCAGTTTCCTCATCTGTGAAATGGGGAAGTTGATGGAACCCTCCTCGTGTGGTTTTGAGTTTTCACTTACTGTAAAGGATATAATGTGGGTACTAGTGGGTCAATGAGTATGAAAAATTATTACTATCATTAATCTGAACAGGAAGTAGAGTGTTCAGAACTAGTATTAAGAGTATCCTAAAAGGGATGGAGGGTTTTTCTATCTTGAGAATAGGACATTCTGATTGGAGGGAGGCATTGGATGTAGTATAATAATACTAGTAAATAATAGCTAACACATATGGAGCTTACTATTTGGCAGGCACTATTCTAAGGTATTAGAATACCTTGGGCACTATTTGGCAGGTACTTTATAATAAACATTCATTTAATCCATCTAAGGACTCTATGAGGCAATACTTGTCATCCCTATTTTATAGATAGGGAAACTGAATCCCAAAGAGGTTATTTACTTACCAAAGTCACACAGCTAGTAAAAGGAGAGCCTGGATTCAAACCCAAGCAAACTGGCTCAGAGTCCAAATCTTAGCTTCTGCTCTAAAACCCCTCTATAGGGCACGGTGACTTGAAGGTCTCAGAGGGTTATGATATAAGGTATTCCAAGAAGGACAGGACTCCCTGTTGTTCACCATTTTACTCTTTTCCCATCTTGTCCCATCAGAAAGGTACTGGACCATCGTGACAAGGTATATGAGCAGCTGTCCAAATACCTTCAACTGAGAAATGTCATTGAGCGTCTCCAGGTAAAGATGCCAGTGTTGGGTACCTTTTTTAGTGGGCAAGGGAGGGGCATGGGAGGAGATACCCCAGACCAAAGCTTGTCATCTGACCTAAAAGTTGACCACTAACCCTTTCCTCTTTTTCTCTGGCCCTACAGGAAGCTAAGCATTCGGAGTTATATATGCAGGTGGATTTGGGCTGTAACTTCTTCGTTGACACAGTTGTGTGAGTGTCTACCACCCCTCTAAGCCCGTAGGGTTCAGCTTTCCCCTTCCTTTGTTCAACAAATATTTTTGGAGTATTTGCTATGTACTAGGCACTGTGCTAGGTGCTGGAGACGTGACAGTGAATAAAATAGGACAAAATTCCTACCCTCCCAGAGCTTTAATTGGGGGAAGTCAGGGGAGGGGAGTAAAACAAAATCTTAAATAAACTGTATGGTGTGCTAAACACAGATAAGAACTTCCCCTACTTCCTCTAACCACTGTTTCCCTAGCCCAGACACTTCACGGATCTACGTGGCCCTTGGATATGGTTTTTTCCTGGAGTTGACACTGGCAGAAGCTCTCAAATTTATTGATCGTAAGAGCAATCTCCTCACAGAGTAAGTCTATTCCATGAGGATGGTATCTAAGAACACCACCATATGCAACACCCCTCTCCTTTTCCCCACGACTTCCTGGTACACTTAGGAACCCATTTCCCATCCTCCTCAGGGCTAGGACTGAGGAAAGTGGGGATGCAAAGATCAGCCCCAGGTGTAGCACATATTAAGCGTTCAATAATGGTCTTTGTATTTTTCATTCACACATTTACTGGGCATCTGCTGTATGCCAGACTCCGTTTGATGGTGGGGAGGCAGCAGTGAACAAGACAGAGGGCTTCTTGAAGGCTTACATTCTAGAAGAACTGTACTGTTTCACATAACCACAATTTTGACCAGATCCATGGGGTCTCAGCCTATAAATCAATAACAATAAAACAAGTTACCTCTGACTTCACCTCCTGCTAACTTTTTTTTGCTTGTTCAGTGCTCTCACCACACTGACTTTCACAGGCTTCTTTAAACACCCCAGAATGATCCTACCTCAGGGTGATTGCAGTGACTATTCTCTCTGCCTGCAGTACTCCTTCCCCAGGTACCTGCAAGGCACCTTTCTCCTCACTCAGTGTAAGTCTTGCTTAAATGTCACTTCCTCGATGAGGTCTTCTGTAACCTAACTTTAAAATTGCCACCCCTGGCATTCCTGATTCCCTTCCCTTGTTCTACTTTTTCTTTTTTCCCTAGTACTTATGACCTCCTAATGTTTACTGTGCAACTTCTTTCTTTCTAATGTTCATTGCCTCCTCCCATTGGGATATAGGTTTAAAAAGGGAGATATTTGTCTATACTACAAGTGCCTAGAATAATACATAGTATATAGTAGGCACTTCATGTTTGTTGAGTGAATTTAAAAATGAATGCTGGAAACAGGTTGAAGTGAGGATTGAAGCAGATCTCTGTTGGTGATGGGGAGGTTATGTGGAAAGAAATTATAGGCTTTAGTTGCTTTTAAGGTTTTGAGCATGGAAGGAGAATTGGAAGTGAGGATGAGAGGTTTGAAATGTAGCTAGGGAAGGCCTCCCAGAGGAAGTGACATTTGAGTCACTTGGTTGATTGAACACGGCAGGGGGCTCTCTGGGGAAGAATATTCCTGGCAAGGGGCCCTGTGTGCCTACAGTGTTAGAGGAACAGCCAGGAGAGGTGAGCATGGCTCAGGTGGAGGGAGTGAGGGGACACCGAGCAATATATTTAGATTAACAACACCTCCCTAAAGTGAATACCACTGATCTAAAATTCCTTCTGGGTTATATATATCTTTATTCCTATATTCATTTCTTCCAGAGTTGCCTCACTTAAGGTTTCAGTATTTCTCTTTTCAAACCTTTCCAGGGTTTCAGTGTTAGTAGACCAAAAAGAGCCTCAGACCTGCTGAGATTTCTAAATCTTAGTGATCTGACCAGTTAGTGAACAGTTTAGTTGAGGGGCCTCTTCTCTCACAGGCCAACAAAATTCTGAACTGGTGGTCATTTAGACCAAGACCATTTTTTTATAACAAAGCTCTTCTTGTTATATCACAGGACTCATGAGCCTTTCAAATAGGTTTTAATTTTATGAGACTTGATGTCTTTCCCTAAAATGAGGTATTTAAGTTGTCAGCGCCTGCCCCCTTGTCTGGTCTTTTTGATATATTGGCATGGTCTATTACTGTGATGAGAAATGTGGTTGAATCTCTATTATTTAATTATAATTAGTAGGAGTCCCTAGAAGTTTAATCTTTCTAGAAGATGAGGATTTGAGTCTGTGTAGTTCGCTCTCCTCTTTAAAATGCTTGGTTACTTATGGCAAACTTTGAGCTTTCTTTCAGGTTGTTTTATGTAGCCAAAATGGCCTGTCCATCCTTCCTGTTCTTAGTATATTTCTTTGTTTGGGGGGTGGGAGGATCAGGTCTCTTTGTGTATTCTTTCTTGATTACACGGAAAGGAGTACACATGCACACCCATAAACAGACATGTCATCATAGAATAACCATATGACTATTAGCACTGCCTTATATATTAAATCAGTAACAATAAATTAAATATATTCCTTTTGTGTTACAACTAGCATTTGATGACTTTTTATTTGTCTCCTTTTTAAGTGTTGAACTCATAGACTTTCATACACTAAGCTTGTACCATTAAGTAATTCTCTTCTCTTATTTGATGTTCAAATTGTCCCTGATCAAGGGATCAAGATGATCAATTTCATTCCTCTGTTCATTCCTCTGTACTTTAGGTATTCTTGAAAGCATTTTTGCTTTCTGGCAACAACACCATCCTGTGTTTATTTCTTGCCATAAATATAAACTCAGCCATCTTTTGAGGATTTCAGGTTCTTTAGAGTGGAGTAGTCATTCACTTATTCCTTCATCATACATTGAGTGCTTACTATGTGCCACACACTGTTTTGGTTCCTGGGGCTACAGCAGGGAACAAAGCAGACCAAATCTCTGCCAAATCTTACTCAGTTTACATTCTAGTCAGGGAAGACAGACAAAAAACAAGTAAATGATATAGTGTGTCACAGGTTGACAGTGCTACAGAGAACAGCATGAAATGCAGATAAGAAAAATTGCAGTTGCAATTTTAAATAAAATGCTTGATTGGATGTGGGGTGTGAGAGAACGAGGAGTCCAGGTTTTTGACTGATCAACTGGAAGGACGGAGTTGCCATTATCTGAGATGGAGAAGATAGGGAAGGAGCAAACTTGGAAGGGAAGATCAGGAGTACAATGTAGGATCTGTTAAGTGTGAGGTGCTTGTCAAACATTGAAGTTGACATTAAAGATGTAGTTAAAACTCCCAAGGCTGGAGTTCAGGAGAGAGATCTGGACCGAAAATATAAATTTGGGAGATATTGATATATAAATAGGTTTATACTATGTTTTTTTCTAATTTATCATCCTATGTCATTGCCTTCTACTTTCTTACAGTGTTTAGTTTCCCTAAAACTGACTCCTACATTTACACATAGCTCAGCACAATATTCACATTCCTTATCATGATATCAAGATCCTGCATGATCTAGATCCTTCCTACTTCTTGGACCTTATCTTACATCAATTTTCTTCTATCATTCACTTAATTTTCTAATACTCTGGCCTGACTGCTTCTCAAATAGCTCTTTCCTGCTTCTCGGCCTTCTTTGTGGAAAAGATCTTCCTACTGTTTAACTCTTATTCATTCTTCAGAAAGGCCTCCCTTGATCCTTCATGTCAATGAGATTCTTCTGAGTGAGACTGATCCCAGCTGGCTTATATAAGGAATCCACTGGTTTATGTAACAACATTCCAGGGCCAAAGTGGTTTCAGGCAACTCCATCTTCCCAGTTGCTCAGACCTCTCTTGAGTTCTCTCTCTTATACCTGACATCCAACCCTTTGGTAAATCCTGTTGACTCTACCTTCAAAATATGTCCCAAATCCAATAATTTCTCATTACCTCAATTGCTGCTACTGTGGCCTGAGTCTCCATCTCTCACCTGGACTATTGCAGTAGCTTCCTCACTGAACTTCCTGCTTCCATACCAGCTCTCCATACAGCAGCCAGATGGATCTTCTGAAACCCTAATCGGTTCACATCCCTGCTGTAATGACAACCTGGCTCCCATCCCACTTACAATAAAAGCCAGAGTTGTTACCATTACCTTGTAGGTTTTACATGATCTGCCTCCCCACTTACCCCTCTGACCTCACCTCCTACAGTTTGCCTTTGCTTATTCTTCGTCAGCCACACTGGCCTCTCTGCTGTGCCTCAGACATGCCAGGTACACCCTCACCTCGGCACCTTTGCATTTGCTACCCCTTGTGTCTGGAACACTCATGCTATATATATCCAGATGATTCACTTCTTCAGTGTATAGTCTTTACTCAAGCGCTTCTCAATGAAGCCATCCTTAAGCAATCTAATTAGAATTGCAACCCTCACTCCTGTACTCCTTATCCTCTCTTATCGTCTAATTGTTTTCATCATAGTTAGAACCATCTGACATACTCTGTATTTTACTCCATCATTTGTCCCTCTCCATGAGAATTTGAGCTTCATGAGGCTGAGATTTTTGTTTGTTGTGTTTTTTGCTGTCTCCCAGTACCTAATACCACCTGGCACAGAGCAGGGATTCAATAAATGTCTTTGAATTAGTGCAGTCCAGATGGTGGCCAGGCATCTCTGCATAGGAGCAGGTCAGATAATGGGATGTCATACCACCTGCCGTGTGGAAGTCATCCAGAACACAGGTAGTTCTTGAAGTGGTGAAGAAGCCTCATCCTCATTGATCATGGGGCCCACTTTGCCCTTTCTTGTTTCTTTTCTCCAGGCTCAGCGACAGCCTCACCAAGGACTCGATGAATATCAAAGCCCACATCCACATGTTGCTAGAGGTGAGAGCAGCTCACCCCACTCCCAGACTCTGTCTCCAAATGCATTTAGGGTGGTGACCTGAGGAAGGGAGAGAGCCAGAGACTGGAAGGCCCACCTGTCCCTCTAAACTGGAGCCAAGCTGAAGCCAGGGTGGCTCAGAGGAAGGGGAGGTCAGAACAAGCCTGGGGCAGGGCCTGGACCTAGTCCCTGTTCAATCTCTTCTGTTCTCTTTTTCAGGGGCTTAGAGAACTACAAGGCCTGCAGAATATTCCAGAGGAGCCTCGCCTTTGACTTCTTCCCCCTTCTCCAGATATTAAAGAGACTGAATGCCTTTTTGAGTCACACGACCCTTCTTTTTCCCCTTAACCCCTATTTTTCGCTAAGGTGCCCTGTTTCTAAAGCACAAAGTTACTAGGAGGCCTAGAGATCCAGTCTCTTTGTGGAACCTTTAAAGCGCCCCTGAAATCCTGCCTCCAGCCTGTTACCTGGCAGCATTTGCTACTAGACTTAACTGCTCTGCTCGCTCTTCCGTTGCCTTGGCAACCTGGGCCCCACCTGACCCTTCCATTTTTTTTTTCTGGGACACCACTCTTAACTACCATAGAGAATGGGCCAATTCAGAGAGGAGCTTTGTTCCCAAGGCAATCAGCCTTTCACTCCTGGCCTTACGGTTTACCCCTCTCCCACACCTCAGTCATTCCTCAGGTACCTTAAATTACACCCATGACTGACTTGACCCAAATTGGCCTCACTACTGCTTCTAAATCCCAGTTTCCACCAATGGGCCCAAAGCTAGATCCCTCCCTCCCTGGTCCAGCCCCTGTTCTTCGTTGAGTCCAGCTTCAAATAAATATAGAGCCAAGTTCAACCCCTTAATAAGTCTGGCTGCAGCCCTGGCCAGTTTGGCTCAGCGGTTGGAGCCTTGGCCTGCGGACTAGAGAGTCCTGGGTTCGCTTCCCACTAGGGGCGCATACCAAAAATATATAGAATAACTCTGGTTGCAGCTCGACCCTGCCCACCTCGCCATTTAGGTTTCTGCCACTCTGCTCCTTTGCTCAGCTGGCAGCTGTCCTGCCCTCCTGCCTCTGCTTCATTCCAAATTTGTCTTTTCTAGCCAATCACTACAGAGTTACCCTGCCCGCCTACGCAGGGCCCTGGCCCGACCCCTTTCCTGCCGGCTGCTACGCCCACTTCCATCTAAGTCCTGCTTCCGCTTAGCGGCATGGAGGGCAGCACCGCCCCATTCGTGTTTTGGCAGCTGTCTAGGAGTCCCTCATCCTCCAATCAGCAGAAAGCAGTGCCCCCCCCCTCAATCCTCCAAGGGTGTTTTCCATCAATCCCACATAAACCAATTAGTGCAAGGCAGGCGCCCCAGAACCTTGTCAGTTGCCCACGGTCTATCAGTCTTTCTTGAGCCAATGAGCGTGTAGCACTGGCGGGATGAGAACGCCCCCTTGGAACCCGCCATCTGCGTTCCATCAGTTCCCCTTGGGCCAATCACGGCATAGCTCTGTGGGGCAGGGCCCGCCTCCCCAAACCTGGACGTCGCGGTCAATCTATGGAGTTTGGCTAATCAGCGAGCAGTGAAACGCTCAGCTCCTCCTCCACGGGCCCACGTGAGCGGTGGGGAAACGCAGGGGCGGCCTCTAGGTGTTGCCGCTGCCGCGGCTGCCACCACCACCACCTTCACCGCCGCCACCTCCGCCTCGGATCCCGGGCCTGGGGGGCGGTGGGGCCGCGCATGGAGCCCCCGCCCCCCGGAGCTGCCAACACCGCCGCTGCCCTACACACAGGTGAGCTGGGACCTGGAGGGTAGAGGGCTTAGTCCGTGACCCCACGTATCCTTCCCGCCCCCGCGCAAGGGATGTGGCTTGGCCCGTGGCCTGCTGCTGTTTGACTCCCCACCGCTACCACCATGGCTGGTGGACCTGCCTGTGGCATTGTCCCCTGTCTTCGCCCCTTGTAATGTATCTGACTGTGGCCTAACCCCCCTTCCTGTTTAATAGTGGATCGGTCTGCGTGCTTACATTTCTCCCCACCTCACTTTACAGTGGACTCGTCCATGATCTTTCCCCCCACCCCCACTTATGGGGGACTAGGCTTTGGCATTGTCCAACTCTTTGACAGTAGGTCCGTCTGAGTGTGTTTCTCCTCTCCTCAACTTTCAGGGGCCCTATCTGTGGCCTTGTTTGTTCCACCTCTCCTGTTCCTTGTAGAGAATCAATCCGTGGCGTTGTACCCCCTCCACTCCTCTGTAACAGTAAATTAATCTGTGAATTTGTCTTCCTGCCTTCTCCAGCCCTCCAGTACATAAGTCCATGGCTTTATCACACACGCATGCACACGCTATTTTACAGTGGATCAGTCTAAATGCTTGTATTCACATCTCCTTAGTTATCGGCCCATTGCCCTGTCCTCCCTCTTTTGTACACTGTCACTCCTCCAGTTCTTGGGCTTCTCCCTTCCTTTTAACAGTGGGCCAGTTTAGTGTTTCATATCTCTCTCCCCATAATCAGTAGTCCAGTCCATGGCCTTGCCCTCTTTCCTTTTAATCAGTCCTTGAGTGATGCCTTTTCTCCTCCTCCACTACTGTGCAGCAGTCGATGTGCTTTTCTGCACCCCTTGCTCAGTAAATATGATAAGCCTTTACACCACCACTCCCCTGCATTTGCAGTGGATCTGTTCATTAGCCTTTCTGCAGCCCCTGTGCTTGCATTCACAGTCCAGTGCTTTGTAATCCCTCCTCTCCTGTCAGCCTGTGTGCTTTTATTTCCCCTCTCCTTTCCTTGTGAATCAGTCGTGTCCTTCCCTGACCCCCTCCCTCCTTCTTAATAGTGGATCAGCTTTTGTGCTTGCTGAACCCAGATCTTTTTTACTCTAGAACACACCCCTTCATGCACACTGTTAACCATTGAGACCTTCTTCCTCACAGTAAATAAATATATTAGTGATAATATTAATAGGAGTTAACAGTTATTGAGCACCTACAAACATTGAGTACCAGGCAAAGTGTTTTATAGTAATGAGCTCATTTAATAATCACCATAACCCTACTAGATAGATACTAAGGAAACTTCAGCATAGGGGGGTTAAATACCTTACGCTTAGGTGATCCAGTAAGTACCAGGTTAGGGTGCCCCTCAGAACACAGAATAATTTTTGAGGCTCCCTTTTCTCACATCCCATCCCATGTAAGGCCCCACTCCTTAAAAACCAAATTAGTTCTATCTCCAAGCTTTTGTTTTTGCTGTTCCCTGTGTGCAGAGCTGTGTCCATTGCACATCTTATCTCAGTATCCATCCATCCTCAATCCCAGAAGCTGTGTGACCTCAGTTGCTTAACCACTTTCTCTCTGTACCTGTTTCTTCATTTGTAAAATGGAGGGATCAGAACTAGAATCCTTTCCAATGTAAATAAAGAATATCTGTGAGTGCCCAGCTGGTGTGGCTCAGTGGTTGAGCGTCGACCTGTGCACCAAGAGGTCACCAGTTCAATTCCTGGTCAGGGCACATGCCCAGGTTGTGGGCCAAATCCCCAGTGGGGGGCATGCAGGAGGTGGCCAGTCGGTGTTCTCTCACATCAGTGTTTCTGTCTCTCTCTCCCTCTCCCTCCCTCTCTCTCTCTCTCTCTCTCTCTCTAAAAATGAATAAAGAAAAAATTTTTTATAAAGAATACCTGTGAGTTGATAATGAAACAAGTAACCTCTCTGTCCTTATATCCTACACCCCCAACTCTGTTCCAGTCACACTAACCTCCTCACTTGTCCTCAGACAAACCAGTGGTCCAGCCTCAGGGCCTTTACATTGGCCATTTTTTTCCGCCCAGAACACTTTACCTCTGACCTCTGCATGGTTCCTTTTGGAGCTCTGTTCAAATGTCACTTCATCCCTGATCATCTGAACCGGCACCCTAGTAGGACTCAGGCCCCTTCTCTGTTTTATTTCTTCCTTTGCACTCTATTACTATGGATCACACTATGTAGTTTACCAGTTTACTGTGTTGTCTCTCTCCATTAGGAGTCCCATGAGGGCTTACAGTTTTTGTCTGCTTAGTCACTGCTGGGTTTCCAGCACCTACAGTATACCTAGTATGTAGTAGGTGCTTAATATACATTTAATGCATGAATGAGTGGGAAAAATATAATTTCAGACAAATCAGCGTGGAAACAGATGGGGATGAAGAGGGCATATGAGAGCTAGTTAAGAGGCTAGTTAGTTGAGACTGTTCATTCAACAAATACTTACTGAGCACCTACTAAGTACCAGATATTTTTCTAGGTGCTGAGGATGTGGGAGAGAACAAAATAGGAAGAAATTCCTGCCTTTGTGGAACATACATTTGTTAAAAGTGGACGAGACAAACTATATAAATAAAATAAATAAGTAAAACTAGATTGTATGTTAGACAAGTGCTAAGGAAGAAAATTGAAGTAGGGAAGGTAGGAATAGAGTATTAGGGTGGTTTAATCTTAGGCACAGGGCAGGCCTTGCTTAGAAGGTGACTCTTGAGGCCTGAAGGAGGTCATGGAGAGAGCCATAATGTCTAGTGGAAGAGTACACTGGGCAGAGGAACAACTGATGCAAAGGTCCTGAAGTGGGATTGTGACTGACATGTTCAAGGCACACCAAGAAGGCCAGCGTAGCTGAAACAGAGTGGAGGGAGGGATAGGAGGCAAGATCTGAGACATAAGGGGAGCCAGGTGGTGTAGGTCACAGTGATACATAAGGTTGTGGGGAGGAGTTTGGGAGGGCAAAGGATCACACACTAGCAAATAGCTAACATTTCTTGAATGTTTACCATGTGCCAGAGATACTTTTCTAAGTCCTTTACCTATGTAGACATTTAATCCTTACAGATGCCTTGGAGAGTAGGTATATTTCGAGGATAATTTATTTTGAGAATGAAATCTCCCCATTTCACAGATGCAGAAACAGACTCAGAGAGGTTCAGTAACTTGCTCAAGGTCACACAGCTAGAACAGGTCAGAGGAGTATGAGGCTGAAGACACAGAGAAAACAGCTTTGCAGACAGGTTATTCAGTGCATTGGATCACAAGAGGAAGAATTCATTCTGCCTGGGAGATAATGGAACTAAATGATTGCATGATAAAGGGTTCATTGGGTACCGAAAGGGGGAAGGGCACTCCTGGCAAGAACAGTACATACATGCCCTCAGAGATTGGAACTGGATGAACTCACAGAGTGTCCATGATGTAGCATGGCAAGCTTGAGCCCACCTTGGAGCCTTTATTCATGCTGATCCCTCTACCCAAAGCACCCTTCCCACAGATGTCAGCATGGCTTGCTACTTCCCTTCCCTCAGGTTTCTGCTCAA